TCGGTCAAACTGGTAGAAATTTTGATAAACGAATAGCAGAACATAAAAGGGCTTTCAAGAATAGAAAAACAGATTCGACATACGCACTTCACCTGCTAGATCATAATCATTCTTTTAATGACAAGTTTAAAATTCTTCACATTCAAAATAAAGGCCTTAAGCTATCTTTGTTAGAATCTATGGAAATCAACAAATTAAAAAACACAGATATAATTCTGAATGACCAACTTGAGACAAACAGTTCTCCCCTCCTCAACCTATTTCATTAGAGACTATAAATTTGTAAACCCAAGCCAAAAATAGATTACTTGAGAAAGGCAATCAGCCGAAACAGCTGTAGTGATAATATTTAAAATAAATTTTGTGGAAGTTTGAAAACAAAGTTTGCAGTGTTTTATTGTTACATATACTTATTTATTAAAATTTTTTCTTAGCAACCTATTTTTTTCTTTAATATTAGTTATTTAATATTTTTTAAACCGATAATACAAAAATATTTTTTTGCTTTAAATTTGCTTTTTTTATCATGTGAGTCTAAACGAGAACTAAATCTAAAACGAAAAATTAACAATTAAAAATGCTGAAAAAGCCGATTTTAACGGTTTTCGGGGATATGATGTAATATGTTGGATATCAAATTAAAAAAAATATGAGATTAGAGCAGTTTGAAAAGAAAATGCCCAATTCTATTTTGATTTTATATTGCAAAAGTCAGTTTACAATATTTATAAATAAATTGATATAGCTTTGCGTTTCGGAATAAATAGACTTAACGAACGTCAAACTATAGCGTTCGAAACACACTGTTTATTTTCTTGTGACAAAAATCCACGGATGGGGTTTATGAACGTTTATGAAAGTTTAGTTTATGAAAGTTTATTTTTTATGGTTCATGATTTTATATGTTCCATATATAACCAGTTTTTGCACAATTGGCAAAAATACCTAGTTTTTCGTTTTTTACAATACTTACACCATCCCCGTTTTCCCGGGACTGGGTCATCCCTCGTCATTTGGTTGATTCCAGAAAATTTTGCAGCAAGTAACCTTGATGTTTTCGGTATACGCATATTTAGCGCTCGTATTTTTATACTTTTCTGGACCAACGCAATTCCTAAAGACTTCAGAAACAATCGACGTGAAGACCGAAATTCTGCATTCGTATTAATGGATCTTAGTATATTATTATAATAAATGCATTTGTAGCTGCAATATTAGCCAAGCCATAGCATAAAACCAGAAACGCCCACCCACGGCTGGGGTCTGTCAGGATACTTTTAAAGGTAGCAATTAAAAGAATGCATACAATATCACCGAACTATGCGAAAGTGGGCTATTTAGTGCCATTTAAGGGTACACCGAGTCTAGGAAAAAATGCAAAAAAAATTGAAAAATTAAGCAATTTCATTTATAGGTGTCCTGATAGATCATATCCGTGGGAAGGAGGGTTAAACAAAAGCTGAATGTTATTTTAATCGAAAGAATATGAAACAGCAATATTTCAGTTAAAGGTTTACCCAAAGTTTACCACAGGAACCTGCTTATAGCAGGTTATAATATTATAAACAAAAGAATAAATTATTTTTAAATAAAAATAAATTTTTTGGGTAAACTTTTTACTGTAATGTTGTAGCATCATAATAATCTTTTGATTAAAATAAGATTCAGCTCGTGGATAAAACACAAACAACGTGTTTTGAACGCTAAAGATAAAAGTTTGTCAAGTCTATACATCTTGAAACGCCACGGTATATAAATTTGTTTATGTATATTTTTAATTGGTTCATGTCATATTAGACTTAAATTGGCTCAATCGACTCATATTTTTTGTTTTATAATTTTAACCTATGGAAAAATGGCCTCGAAAAAGTTAATACCGGCTTTTTAAGCCTTTCGTTAGTTTAGAATTATACTGTTGTATGTAACATTTTTTGCAAAATCGGTTTGATGGTATTACTAAGTCGTATTTGTCTTAGACTTTGCTTCCAGAGAGTATTAGTATTTTATATCACATCCTGTGAGTTTGGCAACCAGAAATACATAGTTCTATTACGATGAATTTTAATTATTAAAGTTACATGGTTGTATGTATCAGCTACACCCCGGCAACTCTACAAAACTGTTTGATTTAGACTAACTTAGTTGTATGTGTCACATACAACTTTGTTATTTTACGTTTGCATTTCAAGCAGCTGAGTATTTCGCACATACAACTTTGTTACAATAGTAGTTTTTAATGCAGATAGACGTATGAACAATTGAAATAACGGGAAACTATAAACTTGTGTGTACTTTTTGTGAGTAATCGATTAGATTGTGTGTGGTTAAAACTTAGATTAACGGGTTTCGTTAATCTAAGGGTTGAAACTTGAAATACCAAAAATAAAAAAGTGAGGTTAGTTTTTATCTTTTCAGAAAACTGTTTTGCTAACTTTTGTGACTTTTAGGTTCACTCTTATTTTATTTGTAATGGATTGCAAATTGGCTAATGAGAATTCAGATTCTAAAAATGAAAACTTAAAAGATTTAGAGTAAGTTTTTCTTTATTTATTTTATATGGTAAGAAATTTTCAAACAAATTTAATTATTTTAGGACAGTTCGAAAAAGAGAAGTACAGGGTTTCACTAAAACTATAGATAATAATATATACCCTACGGACGATGCAAGTGAACAAACTGACATGTCTCTTGTCAAGTCAATTATAAAAGTAAGTTAAATGTTTACAATTTAACTGCAATATTATCCAAAACGAAACAAGTGTACTGTGCCTTGTGGAGTGAAGCTCTTATGGGTAGAAGTGGCAACGATATAGCAAGTGCATTGATCAAAATTCTAGAAGCTGTTTTTAGAGATCATCCCAATATGAAAACCATAGTATTGTGGAGTAATAGTTGTGTACCACAAAACAAAAATGCCCTGATGTCTGCACCGATTGCGTTCTTTCTAAAAAAGGAATTCAAACATCGAATCCATAATAACGAAGTTTTCAACTCCAGGTCATTCGTGCAATTAAAAGATAGATGCAGTTCACAGCTGCAAAGAGAGAGTTTAAAAAAAAGCAGAGTATTATTCTCCGTTATCTCTTTTACGGTTGCTTTTAAAGATAAGTTCTAGAAAGCCTTACAAGACAATGCAGCTGAAAGAAAACGATTTTAAGGACTTCAAATCGTATGCTCTGCAATATAACTACAAGATTATACCATTTACCCAAGTAGTTGCATTACAATTTTCAAAATCCATATTTGAAATGGGATATAAAGTGAGTCACGCACATAGTGACTTGAAGAAAGTATCCATCCGCGATTTTCGGCCTACTAGAACTAACTGCGAAATGAAAGAATTTATCAAGGAACCAAATCGTTCATTAGTCACAAGATTACTTCCTCAAAACAAAGTTCAGGCCATCAAAAGTATGTTTAAGTGGATGCCAGAAGTGGATAAAGCTTATTATACATCTATACTCCCCAAAACAATATATAATAATGTATGGTGTGTACACCACGTAAACATAACTTTATAAACACGTTTTTTTTTCTTTTCTGTAAAGTTATAACCCTATATTTCACAATTATTATTTTCATCACAAAGTTGTATGTTAGTACCTATATTAAATAAAAAAATGAAATTACATAATTGTGTGTGTTTTTTGTTTCACAAAAATTTCAAGAAAACATTGTTTTTCATATTCTTTGTCTTCTAAATGTAAATAAATACATCTATACTAGCAAACTTTAAAGCGATACAAAATTAGGTGTACCCGTTTCTCCGTTACAGTGAAGCATTTTTTGTTTTTCATTTTTCTCAAAACTTAGTTTACTGCACATACAACAGTTTAATTCTGATCTAACGATTTTTCATTGTTAACTTGAATTTTACATTTAGAGTAAGTATTTTACAAAAAAAAACACAAGAATAGTCGTCTTAGAATAACTCAAATTATTGAAAAAAGTAATTGTGTTTAAAAATTCTTAAATAAATAAATAATTATAAATAAAAAAGTAGGTTGCCATTAAAAAGTTTATTAAGGAGGTATATATTAATAATAAATATTTAAGTTTTATTAGAAAAATTACCTCAAATATTAAAAATAAAATAATAAAAAACTGAATTAATAATTAAAGCATTTCGAAGCTTTGTAAACGATTTCATTAAAAGAAAATCTTTTTAGAATTTTAAATATGGAAACATTAAAGTATGTTTTTTCAAATTACGCTCATAAGATCTCTAAATTGTTATAAGCAAATCTGGCATCAATTAAAAAAAAGAACTAATTTTGTCCCAAATTGTATTTTTCCCATCTCAATATAAAAATTGAAAACATAAAAGTATGCCTTAATGGTACAATATGGTGAACCAAAGAGGGATAATATAGAAATTAAGATAATACTTAGAAAAACTGGAAAAACGTAATTGGATAGGAAAAGAAGTGAAGATCTTGAGAACATAACATGCAAAGCCGAAAAAATAAAATGAGTAGATACCGAGCAGCAGAATAATTTGAATTATTGTAATCTGCAGAATGCACGAGATAAGAGTCATCCAGGTAGTATTAAAAAAATTTTGTAGGGGCCAAAGAAGTGACCAGTGACAACATCAAGTAACTAGCAATAGGTCTAAGAAAAATTTGCAATATTGTCAATTATAATACAGCAAAATAAAGGAGATGGAAAGTAGTATGTATATCTGTAATGACGTTAGATAGGGCTACTCAACGGAAATCCAAAAGAAGGTCTTTAGACTACATATCTGTTATGAGAAGGTTAATAACAGAGTGGGTAATAAAATAAAAAGTAACTTAATAAATCATATTAGGTCACCATTTATAAATGATTATAGAGGAAAGAATGTTTAAGATAATTCTGAGCTTAACGACATTAGAAAAACAATAGAAGAATCCAAGTCTAAAATGCCAGAAGCCATATCCGTATTCGGCCATTAAATAGAGATAGACCACAAAAGAAGAAGTAAACAAAAGGAAAAGCATAAACACATTTTTTACCTAGTTGTTCATGTACTCCTTCCAAGACTAGTTCTGTATACGCCTTCACATTATCTGTATCCTTAAAAAGACTTACTAGAGTAACTTCATGTCCAGCTTTCGCAAGACCTTTTGCAAGTGATTTTCCTGAAAAATAATGGCTTTTTCCAAAAAAATTAAACATCATGAGGATTTTAAAGGAATCAACTAACAATATTCCATTTAAAATTACTAAATAAATACACGTTAACACTTTCATTTTGTTAAAATACTTAATTCACTGGTGTACCTTATAATGCGACTATCTTAAGTAGTTTTTTTAACGAAATATGTTTTGTTTATTATCGTAAATGGTTATAAACTAGATAGTTTGTAAATAAATGAATTTAAAAACTTACAAACACAAAGTAATTAGGTTTAAGTAGGAACTAGATAAATATTACTACGTGAATTTTGGTGAAAATAATTAAAAGTACATTAAAACAAGTAATAATGAATAAATTTCCCAATATTAGTCTCATTTAAAGTACCGCTAACTCAACACGACTCTTAACTATAAATTTAATTTAAGTTTAAATCTTTAAAAAAATATCCTAGATTACGTAATTTTGTGTATATTGGTAATATACAGAAAATGGACAAAATCTCCCACTTCTAGTCAATTCTGAACTCTTTACCCACAACAAAAGCGCCATACATATGATACAAAAGACATTACAGAAAGTCCAATTGCAAACTATTTAAAGATTACATTATTATATCCTTCCAGAGTTAGGTAACTTCAGGTCAACCAACCGGGTTGACACAAGCATTTCCAAAATTAAAAGTCTCCTACAAAAAGGTTTGAATCTAGTACTCTCTTTAAGAAAATATAACAACAGGGTAACACTGCATTAAAGACTCTTAGAGTACCCCTAATAAAGTCATGAATGGCAAATGACAAGTAGAGTAAACAAACTTACTGATTATGGAGCACGGAATCCAAGATCCGGCAGGGGAGGAATAACTGTAGATCACAAGGCCTCCCAGATCGTAAACCATAGAAACCCCTGTGGACTTAAGACATTGAAAATAGCAACCTGGAATGTCAGAAGTTTATATGCAAGTGGTAAATTAGCGAACGTACTGCTTGAAATGGAAAACCTCCAGATTGATGTTTAAGGTATAAGTGACGTACAGTGGCCAGGTTCAGGCAAACAAATTACAAATAATGGAACCATGTATTATTCAGGTAACAACGAGGTCAATGATCGCTATGGTGTTGCTATCTTAGTTGCAAAAAAGGTTAATTACTCTGTGATAAGTTTTACTCCTTAGTCTGATAGGATCTTATCAATACAAAAACAGTCTAAAAAAGGTATAGTAAATTTTATTTAAGTTTATGCTCCTACGGCAGATAAAGATGACGACGATATCGAACTGTTTTACCATGATTTGGAACAAGTCTTAAAATCAATGAAGAAACATCACACTACAATAGTAATTGGCGAATTCAATGCCAAAGTTGGCCAGGGAAGAGTGGATGGATATGTGGGGGAATATGGTCTAGGAAATAGAAATGAACGTGGTGACCGTTTGATACAATTTTGCCAGACGGAAGAATTTGTAATAGCTAATGCACTTTTTAAGCTACCAAAAAGAAGATTGTATACATGGAAATCTCCCGGTGATACAACGAATAGAATAATCCGAAATCAAATTGACTTTGTCCTTATTAGACAAAGATTTCGTAATTCTATACTGTCTGCCAAAACTTACCCTGGAGCAGACATCAGTTCATACCATAACCCCATAGTAGTCACATTACGACCCAAATTAAAACTGGTTAAAAAACCCACACAAAGTAGAATTGATATTAAGAGATTAAGGGAACCACAAACAAAGGAACAAACTGTAAAAACTCTTACTGAAAATCTACGTAATGCCCAAGAACTAAATAAAAGTAGCTATAACATTGATCAGAAATGGGAAAATATAAAAGTAGCAATAATTAAAACAGCAAATGAAAACTTAAAACCAAGGAATAGAAAACATAAAGATTGGATAACTGAAGAAATACTACTATTAATGAATGAAAGAAAATCATTCAAAACAAAAAATCCAATTAAATATAATGAAACTGATCGATTAATAAAAAAGACAATAAAAGAAGCTAAGGAGAGAATGTTACATGAGCAGTGCCAAGAACTAGAAGAAATTGAGAAAACATATGACTTTTTTAACATGAATAAAAGAATTAGAGAAGTAACTGTAATGAGAAAAACACTTCAAACTAGGCAACTAAGAGATGAAATGGGTGCACTTATAACAAATATAAACCAAAAAATGCAGAGATCGACACACTATATAGCACAACTTTTTGAAGACAAAGAGAGAACAGAAGCAGCAAAAGAATTTAAGGATGATACTGTGATTGACATTATACGAGAAGAAATTGAATATGCAATGAAACAAGCTAAAGGTGGTAAATCTCCCGGGTCTGATGAAGTTCCTATCGAATTACTTAAAATTGTGAATACTGAATCTATTGATCTTCTTTTGGATCTATTCAATACCATATATAGAACAGGTATAATACCTAAAGAATGGCTCCAATCAACATTCATACTGCTTCCCAAAAAAGCCAATGCAAAGAAGTGCAATGAACATCGCACCATAGCCTTAATGAGTCATGTCTTGAAATTGTTTTTAAAAGTAATTCACAATAGAATACATAAGAAATTAGAATGTATTGTTTGTAGTAAGTGTTCTTTCGCAGAGACGCTTAGATATTAATCAGGAAATATATGCCTGTTTCATTGATTTTGGGAAGGCATTTGACAGAGTAAGCATAATCGATAAAAGTGAAACTGGAACAAACCATGTAGTGGAGATATCCAGGAGAGGCTAGTATACCTGTTGAATACAAAGCACGTGGTGTTCGTGTGTATTAAGGTATAAAAAAAGCGCTTATTAAAAGCTTAAAATTTTTTATTATAAAGAAGATCTTTTCGGCATTGTATCATTCCATCATCAGTTTAATAAAAAGTTGTTAAAAAACATTGTGTGGCCACATAAAAAACATTCGATGGACATCTGGATTTAAAATTGTCTATTGCATTTACCTGAATAAATAACATGAAGATTATTTTTTAAATCCAGATGTCCATCGAATGTTTTTTATGTGGCCACACAATGTTTTTTAACAACTTTTTATTAAACTGATGATGGAATGATACAATTCCGAAAAGATCTTCTTTATAATAAAAAAAATTTTAAGCTTTTAATAAGCGCTTTTTTTATACCTTAATACATACGAACACCACGTGCTTTGTAAGCATAATCGACTTAAAGAAATTTTATTAAATAAAAACATAGACAGTAGAGACATTAGAATCATCTGTAACCTCCATTGGAATCAAACAGCAAAAGTGAAAGTTGAAAACGAACTGACCAAGGATATCCAGATTCGCCGTGGGGTCCGCCAAGGGTGTATTTTATCACCCTTGTTATTCAATTTATACATTGAAGCCATCTCAGAATTAGCGCTTGCCGAGAGAAGTGAGGGCCTTATAATAAACGGTGAGCCACTTAATAACATAAGATATGCTGACGACACCGTCCTTCTGACAGGAACACTAAAAGAACTGCAACACCTTGCTGAACAACTAAATATATATATTGCAACGATTATGGACTAAAAATCAATTTGAAGAAAACCAAGTTCATGGTATTTACAAAAGCACAAAATATCAAAGTTAAGCTAGTACTAAATAATACAGAAATTGAACAAATATCTTCGTAAAAATACCTTGGAGCATGGATCACAGAAGATACTGATCAGACAAAAGAAATAAGATGCCGCATTGAAATTGCGCGGTCAACTTTTAATATAATGAGAAAACTTTTTGTAATCGCGATATCAATATATCGCTCCGGATAAGAATGATTCGATGTTATATTTTTTCTACACTTTTGTATGGAGTTGAAGCTTGGACACTTAATAAATCCAACATTAAAAACCTAGAAGCATTCGAAATGTGGTGTTACCGACGTATTTTGAAAATATCATGGATGGATCGCAAACAAACGAACAAGTTCTCGAACAACTAGGAAAATAATGCGAAGTTTTAAATTCCATAAAAATCAGGAAATTGGAATACTTGGGGCACATAATGAGAGGTGAAAAGTACGAACTACTAAGGAAAATAATGCAGGGTAAAATCAAAGGTAGAAGAAGCGTAGGAAGACGTAAAATCTCGTGGCTACGCAATCTCCGTGAATGGTTTGGATTCAGTTCAATTGAACTATTCAGGCGACTAACCAATAAAATTATAATAGCCAGAATGATTTCCAATCTCCGATAGGAGTGGAACTTAAAGAAGAAGAACAACAGGGTGTAATAAAAAGGTAGGTTATAAATTAAATCGTATATTCTGGTACCAAAATATTTTGGAATTTTCTAATTAAAGAATTTTTTTATATAGATTTTCTAAGCTTTTATGTGGAGAAAATACCGAAAAAAATGCTTAATATTAAGTAAGTAAAGTTACTTTACTTTAAACTTAAATGCTAATTTAAATTGCTTAAACAAGTCTTTTTAACTAAATGAAGTGCATGATCAGTAACGAGTATTCTCCCCTCTAGCTCTTATTACTACTTGCATCCTTCTCGTTATGCTTGTAAGTAAATTTTGGACATATTTTTTAGAAATTGTATTCAATTTATCCTGTGCAGTAAGATAAAGCTGCTCTATCGTATTTGGAATGGGATTTCTTGGTCGTATGCGTCGTTTTCAGTGATCCTACATGTGCTCTATCGGATTTAAATCCGTCTAAACGGTGGCCAATCCAATTTTCGAATTTAAACCTCATCAAGATAATTACTCAATATGGCAGCGGCATGTGGTCAACTAATACCTTTTCAGTCAAGAAATATGCCCCCACCTCCAAAACTAACAGTCTGGGTAAGATTGTAGCTAACGAATCGTTCTCCATCTCTTGGTAGACGTGGTTTTGACCATCTAGCTTCGATAATAGGATTCTGGTCTCATTAGTGATGGTGAAATTTCATTCCACTTGATATAAATTTTCTTATGCCGATATTGCTAAGCCTTCTTAGAAGAAATAAAGGAAGATATTTAACGGTACTTCTGAAGGTAGGAGCCATCCGCTAGCTGCGTACATAATTTGAATATTATCAAACAGTTCAAAGCTATTACAAAAGTCGGTCGCAAAATCTCGTAAGCTAAACTCGCTATATATAGCTCACAAATACTCTTCGCTTTTAATATATCATATATATAAAAAAAATAAGAGTATGAAATGCCTCAGACCGACACTAGGACGACGTCAGATGATATCATTAATGTGAAAAGACGAAAATGAAATCACAACTAGAGAAAACATACTGACATGAATAGAAGAATTTTACACAGAACTTTACAGAACACATCAAAAAAATGTTGGATCAGAACTAATGCCAAAAGTAACAATTTCAGAGGTAACTACAGCATTGGAAAACATGAAGAGAAATAAAGCTGCAGGTGAAGATAGTATTACCACAGATATGATATTAGGAGGTAAGGAACTAATTTCAATTGTAACTAAGCTTGTGGACAGTTGTTTACATCAGGGCAAAGTCCCTAAGAGCTGGAACAACTCTAAAGTAATGTAATCTTATTACACAAGAAAGGTGATAGTCGAAAATTGGAAAACTACAGACCCATCAGCCTACTGTCACACCTGTTTAAAATACTCACCAAAGTAATAACTACTCGACTAACAAGGAAATTAGACGAATACCAACCATATGAACAGGCAGGTTTTAGAAAAGGCTATTCAACTTCCGATCACCTGTTAACCACAAAAATATTAATAGAAAAATGTAACAAATACAAGTTTCCAGTTTTCCTAGCATTTGTAGACTACGAAAAAGTTTTAGATACCATAGAACACACGGCCGTAATAAACGCAATGCAAAATTGTAGAATAGACAGCAGATATATTAACTTAATAAAAGAAATTATGAACCAAGCTACAGCTAGTTACTACCTAAATGAAAATGAACACACGAACTCTGTACCATTTAACAGGGAGTCAAACAGAGAGATACTTTATCACCCAAACTGTTCACCTTAGTTTTGGAGGACGTTTTTAAAAACCTAAATTGGAAATATAAGGGAATAAACATCAATGGCCGCTACCTCAGTAATCTACGATTTGCAGATGACATAATCCTGATAGCTACTGACCGACAAGAAATGCAAACCATGCTTTTAGAACTACATACCGAATCTTCTAAAATAGGACTGAAAATGAATTTAAACAAAACAAAAGTCATGCACTCCGAAGACACCGTGACAAGAATAAACGATAAAGTTATAGAAAAAGTTGAAGAATATATATACTTAGGACAAAAAATAATACTAAATAGGGAAATTCAAACTGAAGAAATAAAATGAAGAAGAAAGTTAGCTTGGGCAGCATTTGGTAAACTGAACTATATACTCAGAAATCAACAAATTCAATTACATCTTAGTTCTAAAGTCTTTGATGCATGCATTATTCCGATATTAACTTATGCGACACAAACATGGCCAATCACAAAAAAGAATATGAATATACGTCACTCAACACGCGATGGAAAGAGCAATGCTAGGTATATCACTTAAGGACAAGAAAACAAACACCTGTATAAGACAGAAAACCAAAGTCACCGATGTGGTGCAAAAATCATTAAAGTTGAAATGGGAATAAGCTGGACACGTAGCTAGGAGCGATGTAAACAAATGACACAGATCAATTTTAACCTGAAGACCATACCAACACAAAAGACCCAGAGGCAGACCTCCTATGAGATGGACAGATGATCTGAAAAGGACTGCCGGGAAAAATTGGCTACAAGTAGCGTACAATAAAAAATAATGGAAAGGAAGACTTGAAGAGGCTTATGTTCAGATGTGGACGTGAATGGCTAGAAGAAGAAGAAGAAGAAGAATTTAAATTTTAGAAATACAGAAATCGTAGTATTTATGAAGCTTGGCGCTAGTCTACTGTACCGCCCAGTGTATGAATTTTTTATTCGTATATTTAAGCAAATTTTTTTATTATTGAGCACATTAATGGTTTGACGGTTTGGAATATTTTCTGCATAACTTCGACTGTCATTGCCAATTGTTTGTAACCACAGAATATTTAAAAGAACATGATAAAACACATTTTCAAATTAACTAATACATATATAAAATCTTAGTTTCATAATTTTTGCGTTATGTCGCATAATCCTACGGGCGCAAAATCAGAATTGGCGCCCGACAGACGCGGCTGAGAGTTTGCTTACTCTGTCGATATCCTGGATTATTTTGTATATGGTTGTTTTAAGTTTGAGTGTCATCGTCAGTCAATGTAAGTATATAATATTATATTATTTATATATTATATTTTTGCAATATAGGGAACAACATTTTTAGAATTATTTCCATTGTTCTGGTGAATAACATGATTTTGGGCTAAATCTATTTAAAGGTTTATTATTAAATGGGACGTTCATATAAAATCTCCTTCCAAAAATTGCAAATGTTGGAACACGGTGATGTGTGTTTAACTACTGCCTATATTCTGTATGTGTTACTAGTTTTTGTTATTCTATACTGTCTATATTTCTAAAATTGTTTTTTTTTTATTTCTGCGAATTCCATATCCATACCCATTGTTTTTCCTTCCCTGCTAATATAAATTGTTTATTTATTCACTCTCGGAATCTCGGTACATGACTTTAACTCTTAAAAATTTTTGAACTTATATTGAACAGGACGTATAAAAAAAATCAAGATTTCAATAAAAGAATATGTAACAATTATTACTCCGTTTTCACGTTAAAATCTCTTATCTCAAGAAATTTATCTGTGTTTCCTCAGGATCTAAAAAGTACCATTGCCTGATCTTTTCAAGCGATGTTATTGCGAATTGTGAATGCAATTTGATCTAATTAATGTAATTTTATATTAGCTTTTTTTTACCTTAGATATGTTTATGTACATATTTGGGACAGGGGAGGTATATGGATTTTTACCAATTCTTAGAATATTATTTTATCTTAAAAAAGTAGCTTATAACTATTTTTAGTCGTCTAGGTGCCCCTGGGCCTGAGATATGCCCCTTGAAAGGGTTAAAAATAGTTTACTTTATATGTGAAGAGCTATATCTCTAAGCCCAATGAGCAGATTTTAACTCATTGTGTCTCATTTTTTTATTATACTGTTAATTTTTGTACACTAAAGAATTATTTAATGCCTTTCAAACGAACTTTCGTAATTTAAAATTCATTTAGTAGATTCGTACCTATGCCACCGTAGAAAAAAGATTTTTTTATTGATTTTTTGCCCGGTTTTTTGAATATATTTTTGTAAAAAAAAATATTTTTAAATTTAAGTTAAAATATGGATATGTACGAATACTGGCCGCACAGGGACAAACCCCATTCTCAAAAACGCACCCCTATAAACGATGTAGTTTCTTTCCAAAGTACATAATCAATAGATTCATTCTAAAACATTGTATCTATTTAAAACTGACAATATTTAATTGTCTTGCTGGCTGCATAATATATTGCAGCATCCAATCTGTCAAACATTGTAAAATTGTCAAAACAGGTTGAGGCAGAGGTTGAAAAATCGGCATTAAAAATATGCTTGAAATTTAACAGGCTGAATATGCACAAATATGCACGTATTATTATAAAAATAATTTTATGTTAAATATAGTGTGGTTTAAATTTAAAACAAAGAGTAATTCATATCCTTCATCTCTCAACACTTGAGCCAAGTATTGTATTTATCTTTGATTATGCTCAGTAATTCGTTTTGTTTACTCATATGCCGAAGTATGTCACCGTTGTTGGTAACTTTTTGTACCCATGGAATTCTCAGCATGCATCCAAATATATACGTCTCAAAAGCATCAAATCTTTTTGCTTTTTCAGAGTAAATTGTCTAACTTTAACAGCCATACAGCAAAACAGAAAACTCGGATTCTAAACTTGGGACTAAGGTCTGATCTTGAAAAAATGTTTTTATGTTCATGATTATTTTCTTCGCTTGCTTAATTCTTAATAAAATTTCTTTTTTGTGTTACACTGGCTGTTGCTATTTGCTCTCAAATATTTTATGGAAGTTAAATGTTCGAATATTTGTCCCATGGTATATAAATGTACGTTTGTTGGTATCTTTAAAAATACTAGAATAGGTTTTGAAAACCGTTAAAAGTAAACCGAATATTTCACTATAAAAAGCACCGCATTTATTATATTTTGTAGTTCTTGTACGTTGATTGTTATAAGTACGGTGATAGCGTACCTCATGTTGTCTATCCTGGTTCCGTTAATATTGATTCCAACTTGGACCTTGTCCAATGCTTCTCGGAATATATATTTCAAATCATCACTATCATTAACTAGCCTATATTTGTCCACTCTGAACGTAGGCCTCCCTTAAAATTTTCTACCTATTTCTATCTTGAGCTTCTTGCATCCAATTTGTGATGATTCGCTTTATACCGTGCGTCTATCCTGTCTAACCTGTATTAGTTTCGTAGATATTTTTAATCAAAGCCATATATCGGAAGTCGATACTGCAGTCAGCCAATGCTCGAAGCGTTTTATGATAATCTATAGTATCAAACGCCTTTTTGTAGTGGACAAATATAAGAAAGATGGGCGTGTTGTATTCTGTACACTTTTTATTAACGTTTTAATAACTTGATGATCATTTGTTTTGTGTCTGGAGCGCAACCCAGTCTGTTTGTAAGGTTGGTAACTATCCCGTTGATCACAAGCCATTCTGTTATTATCTTAATTAATAGTTTTTATATATGAAAGGGCAAACTAAGGTCTGTAGGTCTGTAATGTCACCTTTTTGTGTATTATGGTTATTATTGCATTATGCCATTATGAGGGGTTACGTCTCTCTTCAAACAAACATTAAACATATCATGAATGTGTTGCTTGTGTGTGTTGTATACCATTACAATGGTATATAACATCACTTTCAATTAACAAACAATCACACACATATCTCTGCTTCATTGGATCAAATCTATCTCCTCAAGAACTTCCCGTTTACTGTCAAACAACTACAATAGCAGAATTGAGTTCTCCATTCAACAATACATATTAGTTTCAACCATGTTCTACCATCTATCAATTAATAGAGTACCGGCATGTAAGTAATGTTTATTTATTTGCTCATTTATTAATTTATTACAATCTAATAGACTATTTTATAACAATTTGTGGGTCTTACATTGTCTGTTTAAACTTTTAAAACTTTTTATACCTTTTTATTCAATTTACTCATTTTGAAATTAAACCACAGACATATAATATTGGCATAATTATTGTAATTTACAACATCTAATTTGTTTATCTTTATTAGACAACACCCTAATATGGGTTTTTATTATTTCAGCATTTATTTAACTTTGAATCGAGACCTGAAGATGCTTTGCATATTGTAGAAAGCTAAACCGGTCGTCTGATAGTTAAATTAAATTGATTGTGAGTAGTCTTATTTATTATTTCTTTACCTATTTAAACATTAAACATATTTTTCAACATATTTATTAACGGTTCTTCTCTCTTTCATTGATTTGTCTTATAACTATCCCATCTTATTTAGGTGATTTATTGTTTTTCATCTCCAAGATACCTCGTTTTATTTCCACTGTTGTGATATCTGGGATGTCTTTTAAGTCTACATTTTAGACCTTTGCTATTTGTCTTTAAATTGGATGTGGAAGTTCTTCTCGTTTATACAATTCTGAGTAAAAATCAGTAGTATTTTTTAAAATATCTTCCTTATTATTGTTCAGTTTCTTTCTTTATTATTTGTTTTAGTTTCTCTCTTTTTATTTACAAGTTTGCGAATATTTTTTGATCCTTTAGTAATTTTTTGCGCAAAACCCTTAAACTTTTATTTTTATCAATAGTTTCATTTATGTGTTCAGTGTTGTAGTTTCTGACATCTTTTCGAATTAATTTTGCGATAGATTTGTTTAACTATCTAAATGTTATAACATTACCTGTGTATTTGTCTTTTAATTCTTTTCTTTTGTTTATAAGATCATTAGCAGCTTAGTTGGGTTGATCCTCCTCGTTTTCCCCCATATTTTCTATGAGCGTTTTAAGTAGCAGGATTTATTCGCATACTTGTCAACTATAATGTCTTATTCATTTTTATTTACATGTTATATTGCTTTTTGGTATGAAGTTATGAGATTCTGATAAGCTACTCTAGTTTCTACCGATTTTGATTTATTAGAATGCCTCTCTCTTATCTTTTCTCTCCACCATCTTCTAATATTGATAAATATTTTTGCTTTAACCAATCGATGGTCCCAATAATAATTCCAAACCTCTAAGTATCGACGATCACAATAAATTAATAACAGACTCGGTTAGAAACGCACAACTCAAATTTTGCAAGAAAAATGACTCCAAAAGTGAAAAGATTAGCAAAGATACAAAAGTTCTCATGGAAATACGACGAAACTTAAGCGAGAATGAAAAGGAAAACAAAGAATAATATAAAAAACTAAATAAAAGAATTTCAGCGGAAATTAAAAAAGATCCAAGAAGATATAATACTAATGTAATTACTCAAACAGTAGAAGAGAACAAAGGTTTAAAGATAATGAAAAAAAAAAAAAATTAAGACAAATTAAAAAAGAAATATACAAGCTGAAAGATAAATTTTCTTTAAATTGCTGCATGTAATATACATCTAAACAGTTGTCTGTGTCAAAGTTGTTGTTTATCTGAAAGATAAAGACGCAAAGGCAACAACAGATAAATAAAACATACTGAAAATAACCAGAGAGTTTTATAAAGACCTCTACACCAGCCTAAGACCACAAGACAATTTCCTGACACGAGTAAAGACTCTCATAAATCAGGGATCGGAAATACTTTTACCCATTACTGTGTCAGAAGTAAGAGCAGCTTTAAAGGCAATGAAGAACCATCGATCGACTGGTGATGATGGACTCGTTATCGATGCAATAAAAGCAGGAGGAGAAATTTTATTAAAATCAGTAAGCGAACTGTTTAATAAATGCTTACATGTGGGTACGATTCCAAAAGACTGGAACAATGCAGTAATAGTCTTGTTACACAAAAAAGGCGATATTACTAAATTAGAAAATTATAGACCCATTAGCCTCCTGACACATATGTTCAAACTCTTTATGAAAATCTTAACTAAGAGGTTAACACCGAAACTTGATTTCTATCAGCCCAAAGAATAGGCAGGCTTCAGGGCAGGATATGGCACAAACGACCATTTGCATACCATAAAGATCTTAATAGAAAAGTGCATCGAGTACAACATACCACTGGTTTTTGCATTTGT